TTTGGGGACTTGTTAATGGTGTGCAAGCTACGATCTTACTGGATACTGGGGCATCAGTGTCCCTAGTACGGACATCCCTCCTACACCGGTTGACCCACTATCCACCCCCTGTCTCCACTCACAATGTGTTAACCACGGCGCTAAAATAGATGCCCAAGCACTCACCAACCTACAGCTACACCTGGGGAACCTAGTAGATGACCACCGTATTCTCATCTGTCCCGAAATCACATGGGACCTGATCCTCGGCGTCGATTTGCTTACTGGACACTCTGCTGTCATAGATCTTTCCCACAATCAGGTCACCCTCGATGCAACGCCGATACTTCTAGACAGCTCTCAGAAACCACCTCTTATTAAGCCCACTCTCACCGTTTCTTCTATTCTTAATCAAGTCTCACTATACCCCATCCGTCCTAGCGACCGAACCGGACCAAATGCTAGCGTTACTTGGGGACTTTTTGAAAGGGAAGTAGAACTATAAAAATTAGGCTGCAAAGTCATGCAATTACACTTCAAGTGATTATGAACAACACACCGTGTTCGAAATGTTCTACAGCGAATAATACCTTTTCATTGTGTAATATGTCTATAAAAAAACGGACTAAAATCAACCGTGACGACTACAACAGAGTTAAGCAGTGTTGCCACGTGTATTCTCGGCTCACCTGTTCAATAAAGCTCTACTTATTATTATTATTCTGCCGCTTCCTCACATTATTGTATTGCATTTCAGGACAGACACTTAATAATCCCATTGCTATAGCAAAGGCCTTTTCTAGATTTCGTATCCAAGTACAGTCTACTTACCTTGTGAAACTACCAAAGAAGGGCGACTTAGGACTCTGCAAGAACTGGCGAGGAATCATGCTCCTGTCGACGCCAAGTAAAATCCTGAGTCGCATCATCCTGGAGAGAATAAAGGACGCACTGGATACAGAATTCCGACCAGAACAAGCTGGATTCAGGAAAGGCAAATCATGTTCTGACCAAATTGCAACTCTACGCATCATCATCACAGAACAAAGCTTGGAATGGCAATCAAACATCTACCTCAATTCCCTTCATAGATTTGAGAAGGCCTTCGACAGCGTTGACCACGAAGTATTTTGGAAAGTACTCAAGTACTACGGCGTACCCCAAATATTCATCAACCTCATTCAACAGCTAGCTGTACGACAACGGCACATATCAAGTGATCCACAACGGAAAACTCAGCGAAGCGTTTGGAGTAAACACAGGAGTCAGACAAGGATGCTTATTATCACCAATGATATTCCTAATTGTCGTGGACTGGACTGGATTATGCGTCAGACAGTGGGAAACGAGAAGACAGGGATATCCTGGACCGACGTGAACAACCTAGAACACCTGGATTTCGCGCGTGGATGATTTATGTTTGATGTCACACAAAATCGAAGACTTACAAGCGAAAACCGACAAACTGGTCGAAGAAGCAGCAAAGACAGGACTGACTCCAGGTGAACATAGACAAGACGGAGGTTATGAAAATAACCAACCAACAACAACAGCAGCAACATCCAACGCCAATCACCATCAACGGGAGGGATTTCAAAGAGGTTACTTCATTCACTCATCTAGGGAGCATTGTCTCAACTACACGAGGAACGGACGAGGATGTCAAATCGAGAATCGGGAAGGCGAGAAACACATTCATCAACCTGAAACCAATCTGGAAATCTTCGTCACTCAGCCTGCATCAACAACAAAGTGATTCGGATTTTCAATACAAACGTCAAGTCAGTCAGTTCTTCTATACGGATCAGAAACTTGGCGGGTCACAAACAATATTTCCAACAGCCTGTTGCAGACCTTTATCAACAACTGTCTTCGCTGGCTCTATACTGAAGATCAGATGGCCGGAAAGAATCACCGACAAGAAACTATGGGAACAAACAAAACAAGAACCAATCGCCAAACCAACCAAATATGCAGGAGAAAGTGGAGATGGATTGGACACTCGCTGAGGAGGCCGCTGGGTGACATCGCGCGTCAGGCCATCACTCGAGTGGAACCCGAAAGGGAAGCGACGAGTGGGACGTCCAAGTGTGGGTGACATGGAGGAGATCGTGTGAAGAGGAGTTGAAACAGCATGGACTAACATGGATGCAGGTGAAAAGTACAGCAGAAGACAGAGGCAAGTGGAGATGTGTAGTTGAAGCCCTCCCTATGTTCCACTAGGAACCCAAGGGAACAATAATAAGATAAACAGTCTACTAGTTTACATTTCGCTAAACTTTTGTGCTTCGTTAACACAACTGATCCCGGACTACTGCTACTACTCTGACCTGTGAATTTCACACAATATTCATTTCATAGTAATCAATGAACGGACGGATTTAATCGGCTCCACATATGACTGTTTTAGGCAAGACAGTTTATTTCTGAGCGTGTCTGCATACCACTTTGTCTAGAAGAAAATCCATCAACAAAGTTCCAGAAATTCTTTCTTTATACATTGGCTGCAATAAGGATGTTTCAAATGCCTCTTTAAATATGTGTAGCCACAGTTATGTATACTGTATTTCTATCGCATCTAATAGGCCCCTGCCCTCAATCTTTCAAAACCGCCACTATGCTTACGATAAATGAAAAGAAGAAAACGTTTAAAAACGCATTTCCAAGAGAGAGAGAGTGTGTGTGTGTAGTTACAGTCGACATGATTATGAGCAATGAATTGTGTTCAAAACATCATCCAGTAAACGATACTGTCATTTACCGAATAAACACATATACGGAACTGCATAATATCAACTTGTACACACAATCACCAGACACGTACCGACGTATCATTTTTCTGTTGACCAGTGGAGGGGTAATTCAATAAGCCATTACGGTTCATCGATATAGACGCTCAAGTTTCAACCAGTAAATCATCTGTGAACAACGCTCCACCCATATAAGTTTTAGCAATACTAGTAGACCGTACGAAATACGTGCGGTGCAGACCTGCGCACTTTATCCTCTTCATAAGTCAGCTTCTAGAGTCCGTTTTATACAGATTTCACTTAGATTCCACCCTAATGGCTTTTGTTGATATCGCAATGAGTTCCAAATCCAAAGTTGGACTGCTTAACCGAATCTGCTGCAATGTCCGTTCACAGAGGGTAAGAATTAGTAGGCAGTCAAATAGACTATAACCTTGAAGCAACAATGGATAAGCTCAACCATAAAGCCAGCTACCTTCTTCACTGAGTGTGGGCGTACAGAATATTCGTTCGAATGATCAATTGGTACTAGTTAGTCAGAGAAAAGATAGCGTTAATGGACTTTTGCGTAACGAATATCATGGTAGAAGCCATGACTTTGAATGTCAAGCTGTAAATCCAACTGTGAAACCGGTGGAGTTATATTAATTACAGACTACGTAAATGCAATCAAATATAGGATTCAAAACATTTATTTCCCGATACGGATTTTAAAACAAGCAAGATTTAATGATGGATTCACCAAATTTCGGTAGAACTCATCCCCAGCTGAATACTCTACATTGGATGACCTATATACTATTGAAATTACATTATCATTACATTATTAACCTTTGTTGTTTGCTTTAAATTCGCATCGGGAAATAAGTGTTTTCAATTCTTAAAGAAGCGCCTCCCAGAAAACGCTATCGATGCACTAAATGATCTAGTGAAATTGAGGCGTTGGATTGCTAAACACTCTGCTCGACGAGATTTTTTGAAAGAATGTCTTCAGACTAATATATATCCTCGGAAATTTTACAAATCCTTACTGACTTCACATTGCAGTTGAAAATCTGGACCTCATCTTCATTTTCGTGCTGAGTGCTGTTGACCTCCACACCGACTTGAGAGTAGTGAAAGCTTGTCTTGTTTTCCCGATCCTTCCTTTGATATCCTCTTCAGTTCCGTCCGCCTGCTTCTCAGGTAGGTAAAGGAGGTTGTTTCTTTCAGGTTCCTCCCATTTATGCTGATCGTTGTCTGTTGTTGTTGTTCTTGTCCAGGAATCTTCACCTCTGTTTTCTCTATGTTTACCTGAAATCCTATCTTTGATGCTTCTTCTGCCAACTTGTTGCTTTTCGCTTGCATATCTTCCAGCTTGTGAGAAGTCAGACATATATCATCGGCGAAGTCCAAATCCCCCAAGTTCCTTTTTGTGTGAGTCCATGTTATGCCTGTTTCCTGATTGCCCGCTGTCTGTCGCATTATCCAGTCCACCGCAGTCAGGAAAATCATTGGCGACCTCTGCCATGGTCAACACAAAATGTGAAGTCAATAATTTGCCGCTCACGCATATAATAATTGAGAACTAATTATTGGTCTACACTTCTCTGCTTTTACGTCAACTTCCCTTCAGATCTTGGTAACGTCTACTGAACTCTAATCACAATTATTAGATGATGATGATGATGAAAAAAGAAGCTGGAAGTTCTCAAAAAAGCATTTCTGTTACCAAAAAGTTATTTTCTCCTTCAACTATTTGGTCGTATTTCTTAGTCTTCACAGAACAGTGAGTGTTTTCAGGTTAAGCAGAGCTAAAAAAGAGATACATCTGAATTTTGACGAAATTATCAATCGAAAATGAAATTCGACAGAGATAGAGTAGAGTAGAGTAAAGTAGAATTGAAAGTTAAAGTTCGTTGACCTGAAGGTTGCAGCATTGCATACTCCGTGCCTCCCAACAACACAGCCTCCACAGCCAACACTCCACTGCTACCAACCATCCATCCATCATCTCTAACAAGACGAAAACCCAAGATGTCTATCATCTCTCTCTCTCTCTGACTCAAGATATATATGTAATTGATACCGAGATTGTGATCACTTTTAACACACACATCCTTAACTAACTAGACATGATCTACCTGACCTGCTCCAATTGTGAAAAAAAGAAAAGTTTGATTTTTCCCTTCTTCTTCTTCTTTTCTTTTTTATTATTTTATCTAACCTGTCAGTCAACAAATTCAAAATTCAACGACGAGACAATGGTAAGTTTTATTACCACAATACGGATTATATATTTTTCTCATTCTCATCATTTTCAGTGTCAGGTGAGGGTGTCAGGGAGACGGTGTCAATTGGGGGGAGATGCGGTGGAGCTTCTTCCATAGCCAGTGTTAACTGAAAACAAAAAAACAAACAAATAAACAACAAACATAGAAATAGGTAAATAATTAAAACGAGGGTAAAATGTTTTTTGATGCAAAAACAAGCCCCTCCTGTAATTTACTAAAAACAAACAGGGCCTCACAGTTAGGATAGTGAAGTACTGTCTGTCTGTCTGTCTGTTTTCGACATAGAACTTTGCACCGATGTGCGGCAGTTCAAGTCTCCGCACCCCATGTAGCACACGAAGCAAGCGAAGAAATGCATAATATAGACAGTAAACAGAGGTGTCAGACAAAGGTAGAGTAATAACAAAGAACAAAACAGTTTCATTGGAAATCATAAGTCACAAGGAGTGGATGCATCTGCGCCAGTGATTGAGAACGATTTTGAGCTAGTCATATCACCAATTGTTTCCACCCATTGGTTTTTACCATCACGAGGATCCCAACCAGACAGCAGTCTACACCTTCCTATGTGGCCTAGACTAATTGTTGTAGATTTCATTGACTGATGAGGCCATGTTTTCGTTTGACCGCCGCTAGCTAGCTCTTTTCCAGCCTGACCCTGTGTCAGCTGACTAACATTGCCCATCGAGGAAGGCGATGACTGGACATACGTAACACATGTCCTAACCATCTCAGTCGATGTAATTTCACAGCCTCGTCGATCGATTTCCCCTCCTTATCTAGCACTCGACGCCTAACCTCAGTAGTGAAGTACAAAACAGCAGAAACTAGAAGCCCCAGAATTATTTTATTCCCAAAAAACATTTTAATTATGTTACTGATGTTAGCGCTCTCATTAAACGTGAAATATACAATCTTTCAAAGACACAAGTCATGTATTGATGTACATTACGGATCATCATTGAGCAAAGTTTGGAATGGCAGTCACCTCTCTATCTCAACTTCATTGAATTTGAAAAAGCATTTGACAGCGTCAATCGAGAGCTGCCTTGGCAACTACTTCGCTACTACGGCGTGCCACCGACAATTATACATCTTATCCAACAGCTGTACGAGAATGCTGCATGCCAAGTAATCCACAACGGAAACCTACCGAATCCTTCGAAGTAAGGGCAGGAGTAAGACAAGCTGGCTGCCTACTATCGCCAATGATTTTCTTGATTGCAGTAGACTGGATAATGTGAAAAACAGCGGGCAATCAGGAAACAGGCATAAAATGGACCCTCATGAAAAAAGAACTTGGAAGATCTGGACTTCGCCGATGATATATGTCTGATTTCCCACAAACTGGAAGATATGCAAGTGAAAAGCAACAACTTGGTAGAAGAAACATCCAGAGAAGATAGGAGGGACTTCAGGTGAACATAGAGAAAACAGAGGTGAAGATTCCTGGACAAGAACAACAACAACAGACAACGATCAGCATAAATGGGAGGAACCTGAAAGAAACAACCTCTTCTACCTACCTGGGAAGCATCGTTTCAACTACAGGCGGACGGAACTAACGAGGATATCAAAGCAAGAATCGAAAAAGCAAGACAAGCTTTCACTACTCTCAAGTCGGTGTGGAGGTCAACAGCACTCAGAATCAAATATGGGGTCCGGCTTTTCAACTCCAATGTGAAGTCAGTGCTACTCACTATACGGATCAGAGACTTGGCGCGTCATAAAGAGCACTTCAAACAAACTACAGACCTTCATTAACAGTTGTCTTCGCTCAATACCACTCAAGATCAGATGGCCAGCTAGAAAAGATCAGCAACGGAGATCTCTGGGAGCGAACCAACCCGGCAGGAACCGATTGTGCAACAAATATACAGGAAGAAATGGAGGTGGATTGGATTGGCCATACTCTGAGAAAACATACCATCAAGTGACATCACTAGACAAGACATTGCTCGAGTGGAACCCGAAATGGAAGCGGCGAGTTGGTCGTCAGTGCAAGGGTGACTTGGAGGAGGTCATGTGAAGAGGAGATGAAAACGTGTGGGAAGACTTGGAGCCAGATGAAGACTCTAGCAAAGAACCGAACGCAATGGAGACGCACGCACTGCTGAAGCCCTATGTTCCTCTAGGAATTAAAGGAATCAATAATAGTAGTAATAATATAATAGTCATTTTCCATACGAGAGAGTAGTATTAAATAAGTATTCTCTTAAAAGGACAACACTACAACTATTAACTGATACTGAGAAAGAAAAGAAAGAAGTGGTCCAGAGTTTATACACCACTTGATGCTTATCCGAAAGTGGTTTTCACCATGGATTAACATCTCTTGGATAAGTAAGTTAGTAGGAATGGACGGCCGGTTGTTTTTATTCTAGTTTGCGGAAAGAAATTAAGGTCAAAAGTCAATGATTAACATAGTTTTCTGAGTCATGAGATCAGAGAAATACTACCACCACAGCAGCTATAGAGTAGACGCTGTGTATTCACAGCTCAACAAAATGCATATCCTATTTTAACTATAACAGAATTAGTAGAAAATTTTGGCTAAAGCGAAATTCACATATCATTAAAAAAAGTTCTAACTTACACCATACAAAGTTATTTTAAGGTTAACAAACACTGACGACACGTAGCCGTGTAAGGGCTTATGGGGGGAAATTGTCATCTGAATTGATAACAACCAGTGGTGTTCGTCAGGGATGTCCACTTTCCCCATTTCTGTTTAACTTCATCATAGATATGCTAATGGAAGTATCCTTAACTGAACTTAACGACTTAGGAATCGACATGTTACCAGGGGAATAGTCTTATGGACTTACTTAGAATATGCAGATGACATAGTCCTGTTAGGGGAGGATGCTGACAAAATGCAGAGTCTTTTGAACACCTTGAGCAGCAATCATCGTATGTTTGGCATGCGATTCGCCCTTGTAAAAAATGTAAGATGCTGCTACAGGAATGACTGGACTACGTCTACCCCCAGCTTAGTGATAGGGAATGAAGTGATAGAACATGTTGACCACTTCACCTATTTGGGAAGTTGTATCAGCACCAACGGACTGATTGGTGACGAAATCTCAGCACGGATCCCAAAATCTCGAGCTGCATTCGCTAACTTACACCATCTCTGGCGTAGGCGTGACACCCGGTTATCAACCAAGGGACGTGTGTACTGCTCAGCAGTTCGCTCCGTCCTTCTCTATAGCTGGCTCTGAAACATGGCCAATACGAGTTGAAGACATGAAAAGGTTGACTGTTTTTGATCATAGATGTCTACGATCTCTTTCTCACGTTAGGTGGTATAATAAGGCAAGTAATATTGACGTTAGGCGTTGAGTGTTCGGTAAAGAGGGAAGATCAATCGACGAGGTTATAAAGTCACATAGGTTGAGATGGCTAAGTCACGTGCTGCGTTTGCCTAACCATCGCCCCCTCCCCGACGGGCATTACTAGCTGATATAGGTGCAGGTTGGAAGAGAGTAAGTGGTGGCCAAACAAATCATGGCCTCATCAATCCATGAAATCCTTGGCAGTTAAACTGAGTCAGTCAGGTAGGGAGATGCAGACTCCTTCCGGGTTGGGACCCTCGGGACTCTAAGAATCAATGGCTGGAGACAACAATAGGTGACATGGCTCAAAATCGTTGTCAATGGCTTACGCAGATGTATTCAGTCTCTGTAATCTTTCATATTCCTTTCTACCATTACTCATTCTGTTTCACTCTTATACTTGTCAAAACTCTATTGATTCTCCTCACTCATCTTCTTGTCTGCCTTTGTGTGCTATTTGGAACGTGGCAACTCGAATTGCTGCACTTTGGTGCCAAGTTCTATTTTGAATCTAGACAGACAGACCAGTTTAGTGCCCTACTCACCAACATAAGTATGCAGAATACACGGCAATCTGAACTGTAATCCATTAAATTCCAGTAAGATATTTTGAGAATAGATAATTCCGTAATAAATAAACCATCATTCGTAACTCGGTGAGTAAATTATATACATATGTATATATATATATATATATATATATTTATATATATTTATATATATATATAGTACACCTGTTTTGGTTTTCACATTTAACTGTTTACAGTAATAAAAATATCTCCAGAAATCGACCAACCTACTTTTTGTAATTTTTCTGCAATCGATTGAAATTCAGTTATTTCATCATGCAGGGTACAACGCAGCCTTTTCAATTTGGCGAAACGTCTTCTCGTTTTTCTCCGCAACTTCCGGGAAATAGGAGTCAGACTTGCCAGAAAAGATTTGTTGAGAGGGAGAAGATGAGCTCGAATATCTTTTTCCGGATCTCCAGAAGGTCGCCTGTAACACTTTAAGTGTAACGTGAGAAGTAGTTTACCATGATTCAGAGCGTTTTAATGTTTCATTAGCTTCGGCCAATAAAAGAGCTTTGTTATTTACGTTATACTGAGAAAGAATCTCTGCAATTCCATCAGATGTACTCTTTTCAAAATTAGGTATGACTTTTTTGATAGTATCTTCAAACCAAACTGCTTCCCTCGTTATTACACAGCAGCATATATCCTCAACAAGTTGTCTAAAAAATCATAAAAAGATTTACAACTACTTACGTGAAGTATTTTTCCACATTCCCAGTCACTATTTGTAAAGCATGAGTAATTTTTTGTTCAGCTGTTTCAGATGTCATCAGGATGTCCACCTAAAAAATTATGTTAGGAAGTTGCCGAGTTTAACTGTAAGGCAGAATATCACAGGTTACACTAGGCCATTACAACATAACATCCACTAATATTTTAATTTCAAAATAACAGCGAGGTGGTAGTGAGGGAAAACATTTCGGTATAACTATCATTCAGTATTTTATGTAATCAGCAATATAGTAGGCACTGGAACGCATGATTTTAAGTAACTTGAGAAGAGTGAACAAACAAAGCGGAACAGTGAGGAGTTCAAAATGAGAAATTCAAATATATTAGTCATCTGCAAAACGAACAAATCGTTGCAATATCTTCGAGATGGATTTTCGAAGTTATCAAAACTTTTTAGCCATATCCTCAGGAAGTTAAATATAGTTGTAGCTTTGTAGCAAGGTATAAATATGCTTTTCAACTTTGCAAGTATTAAAAAACTAGATCAGCATCTTCTTAGAATGCGTAAATGTATGGCGAATTGTCAAGCAAAAACCAAATCAAAACATAACTGTAACTTATGATACATGAACACAAGTATTACAGCCTTTTAACTTCATCTTTCACAAAGAAATTAGTCCCTAGGTCACTTTCCAGTCATATCTATAATGTGATGATTTTACCAGGTGCGCAATTAGAGCACACTTGTTTGAAGTTAGCTTTGACACTTGAATTTAGAATGACAACTTCAGCTTTGCTGTTCACTACAGGGCTTGAGAATATGTAACACCAAAAGCAACCACACAAGCACCGAAACTTTGCCATCCAATCAACAACACACCTGACTGATTTGTAGGTGTGGGACTTAGCACAACGCTTCATCACTCCAAGTTGTTACAATAAGGAACAACACATATAAAAGTTGGTGGCTCACAACCACCAGAAAGGACGGGAATTTACAACTCCTCCTTCTTACCGGAGAATACAGCTGAAATTACTACTGAGAATATTCCTCCACCTAAATGGGAGCAAGTGATCGGAAGCAACTATTGTCAAAGACAGTTAGTCTCGTCATACCTCCGAACACCAACGATCATATCCGACAGCCGTTGAGAACGGCAGGGTTGCTGCACAGTACACAATCTTTGAGCGGCAGCCAGATATCACGGTTGCGCCAAAGATGACGCAAGATGACAGAGGTCAGATGAACCTTTTTTATCCAAGCTGAGATTTCATCAGCGATCAGTCCATTAAGGCTGGTCAACACGACCAACTACTTATTTTTTCATCCTTAAACTAGGAATTAGTTCAGATCAGTCCTGAGGTATCATCCTACATTTGACTGGGGCGAGTTGCATGCCAAAAATACTACTTTCTTTGCTCGAAGAATTCAGACGGCTAGAATTTGTTAGCGTCTGGACTTTATATCGCCTCCATATTCTAGATTAGCGAGACTATTCCCTGGTTGAAAGTCAGTCTCTAAGATATAGAAGTCGGTAAGGGTCATTCATTTGTACATCTATAATGAAATTAAATAGCTTTGATATTGAGCTAAGCAATTTCAGACATAAACGTTTACGGACTAATGAATGCTAGGAGTTTAGAAAGGTGTCTGGAAAGAAGCAGTAACCTCCCACTAATCCTCCATATTGATAAATTATAGAAAAGTGGTCTTTTTTGTCCAGCATTGACTTGATGTTGACATCTGCTAGATACCCCTGTAACAACAGAAGACAAAGGCCAGGCAACAGAACGTTGATTACGGAAAATCAACACATATTTATAGATTTTGATGTACATTATTGTAAGTTAATGTTAGTAGAAAATACAGTCTGTTGATTGGTTGTTTCTCACACAAAGTTAACCTTGCATCTCTTGTGGCTGTGTCAGTTCATCTATATGTTAACTGTATCCCCCCGTCCATCTTGACCTTGTTTTCACATGACTAACATTGACCTCAATTACTGTCAACCAATTTGGCTAGCAACCATCTCTCACCACACCCCGACCGAAAGCTGCTACCTTGACGTGGTGGTCGGGCTTGAACACCGCAATGACCCAACAAGCTATACTCGCTGAGACTTATGTCGCTTGAGGTCCTACCATGCCAGAAAGGTTGTTTGGATAGCGGTTAGACAAAAAGCAGTTACCCAACCCAATGCTATGACTCAAAGTAAATCACAAAATATCATGCCGGATCGGTCGGGGCCCGGATTAACAACGACTGCGCTTCCTGCTGCCGTGTCACAGGGCAGAAGTGATGAATACGCTACTGAGACACACCAAATGAAGAAGAACAAACAAAAACAGGCCGCGTGTGACCGGCCTAAAGCACTTGTCCCCTGGGCTTTGCGGTCACGCAACCAACTTCTACAGTGTGGGCAGCCTGGAAGTAACAATCGCCCTAACATCCCGAAAAAATGCTGCTAAATAAGACAATGCCTCTCCTTATGTTTGAAGTGAGTGCTGGCCAGCAGTACAGTTATCTGAGCACTGCCAGTTTGTCACTATGGGACAACACAAACGCCCCTAATATTCTTAATTTGGCTCGATTTCCGTTCCCAGGACATTATTGCCACCTGTTAGTATGAGTGCACCAGCAAACTGGACAGCTTGTGATAAGACTCATTCCTAACCTCATCAGAAGTGAAATCAGTTGGCACGTAGGAACAGATCTTCTCTAGCATCACAGACGGTCGTCTACTGGCGTTGAATCGGGAAGCAGATTTTTCGCTCCTGAGCTCGAGGCTATTTCTATGCTAACAAGTTAGCGAAAATTAGGTATAGAATTGTGTGATGCCCATAAGGGAAACTTTGTATATGCACTATGTTCGCCAGGTGGAGTGAGATAAAATATACAACCGAATCCCAAGACGCCAAAGTCTTGACTTGGCATAGTATCCAAACGTTAGAGCATTTAATATGCAGTTGGTAGCTTCACTGACACTATTACGTCCCACTAATTCACCTCATTTTATTAAAACAGTACTTCGCTTTTCATTATCTTATTCATCTAACTTAACAGAAGAAAATACAAGAAAACGCAATACGACTTTTTCAAAGCAAGTGCCTGTATGGAAAAGACAAGTAGTTGTTGAATAGCATTTCAGTTCAAGAAAGACATCTAGCCAACTTTTGAAATGTTTCGAAACAAGCTCACCTTTGGCAACTGCATGTACATTTATAACCTTGTTTAAAGAATGAGAAATGAGCCAACAAAGTTTCTCTGGGTTATTTTATTTTCTAATCATAATTAGCGCTGCAGAAGAGTGGTACTCTTTATCTACAACTGCTGTTTGAAAATTCGGTAATACTAGCTAAGCATGGTTGTAAGTTTACGGACTATGCATATAATAACGCCTAATGTAAGATCTAATTATCTAGTGACCAAGAAAGCTAGTATTATATAGTCTAAAGAAAGTAGTCAAAGTGTCTATATCTATAAACACAACACAAGTGAAAGAGTTATGTAACTGACTACCTAGCCATAAATTTGTCCTATTGTCGCTAATTTTGTTGCCACGGTTTCAATGTACCGCACACGCTGGAAAATAACGGAGACGGGAAAAATTATGATCCATAGTCTAATAGATTTGTGGAAGAAAATGCATGAAGTGTCCAACATCTGGTAAATATAACCGGATAAGATTTTTCAACAAGTACTTGGCAGTTAACTGTGAGTAGTCAAGCCAACTAAACACTTCATTCGCCTTCGGATATCTAATAATTATGATGAACTGCAAGAAAACCTCATCTGGAATTTGCTAAACTGGAGCAAAGATACGGTGAAAAACATAAAACCATGAACAGAAATGCATAATCCAAATTTTCAGTACCACACAAGAAAAACATCAAAGTTAAAAGAGAGAAGTCATGTGAAAGAATGTTAAGAGGAAGAAAAAACGAGAATTAATCTTTACATATGACTACCGAATTTCGACTTGCCTCGTTAACGATATAGTCGGACCATGTGCAAGGCGGTAATGGTGTGGTATCCTTCGGAACAGAAAACAATCTTTATTTCACATGATAACGTCTTAGTGTGACGCAAAATACAACTGATTCAAATCCAACGTAATCATTTAGCGACAGTCGCCTGTAAGTTAAGGATAGGCTTTGCATTGTTGAGCTGAAAAGTATTTTCAGAAGATTGATGTGAACTCGCTCTTGCACCCATCCTTGCATTTAGAATTAACTGAGTCTGAGGGCCCAGATAGTTGCACTAGTACTGGCGATATAATGGATGAGGTCTGAGGATAGGCTGCGTGTGCTTGGAGATTATCTTCAAAACAAGCGATGTCATTTTGAAACACCAATTATCTTGGCTCGAACAAGTGTTGCTCTTCACAAAACCCTCAGGTCAGTTGACGGAAGCTGAGTGGGCGGCTCATAGTGTGGTATCACAACATGTCTTAAGAAATTTTCGAGATGTACTTAACAAGCACCAAATTCTCGAGTTCCTACAGCCATGTAAAATTAATGTTCTTAAGACAGCGATTCGCAGGCGATAATTAACATTGAAATTGTGTCAGACTCAGGAAAAGTCTTCATGAGGAATTTTAACGGAGCTAGGTTGTACGGTTCATTCTTCAGTTAACCGATACTCAGTGAAGTAAAAACCAACTGCCTAGATCTCCTTCACTACCTGCATTTATCCATCTCAATGCTTCCGTAAACCTAGTTAAATTGGTCGAAAGATTAGGCAAGTAACGATAGGCAAGGGACTGACTACAGTGATACGTAACTCTACACTGGTTGACCTCGTTGATACAAGACAGGTCGACACTAACAGAGCTTTAAAATTTTATCACATCTAGTCTTTCATATGCTTTACGAGTCCGACTTTCACATTAAAACAGAGGCGACTGAAATTCGTCTGTATAAGCTAAACATGTTTTCGAGAAGCTTTCATTGTCACAATCCCCTACATAATATGTAAGGAATTTCGAAACTGACCCTTTTTGTAAATATCTATTACTACTATTGTTGCCATTCTGTTTTACTACTGTTCCATATTTCTGAGCTTAATTAGCTGCCATGTTTTCAATTGCTTACTTAC